ATTTTTTTTTTTTTTTTTTTTTTTTTTTTTGTTAATTTTATGTTTTTTTAGTTATTTAAATATAAAAATAAAAAAAAAGTTAATTGAAATATAAAAATACCGAAAAATTATTTAATACAAAGTTGAACAAAATTTTCATATAAAAATATTTGTGTGTAGCAAAAAGATATATAATATTTTTAAGTTTTTTTAAAAATTTTTAAAAAATATAATATATATTATAAAATTATTTTTTCTTATATATATATATATATATAAATATATGTTTTAATTTATTAAAATGTCAACATGGATAAATAAAAAGTTAATATCATTTTCAGAAAAAGTAATTGAAAATGTGATAGATTCTTTTACTAATAGAAATACTCCTATAGAAAATATTCAAAATATACAAGGTGTAAGTATATTATATTTATAGATTTATAAATTTTTTTTTTTAATATTTTTTTTATAAATTGTTTTTGTATTTTACATATGTTTGAATCCTAATTTATTTTATTTTTTTATATTTTTTTACAGACTCAATTAGGAAAAATAATTAGTAAAGTTATTTCATCAAAATATTTTTTTAAAAATGATGATATACGCTACGATGCGAATAATTTAGATTTTAAATGGTATTTCAAAAAAAAGAATAAGAAAAAAGGAAAATGGAAGAAAAAAAAGAAAAAAATTGAAGAAAAAACTTTTGGAGATATTAAAAAGAAAGATAACAATAAAAAAAAAAATTATAATGATGATGAAAAAAATAACAATTCTAATGATATAAATTATTCAAAAATAGATGATTCACATGTATCCTCATCCTTTTTATTAAATGTTAATAAGGAAAAAAAAAAATATAAAAATGGGAAGAGTATATTAACGAAGAAAGATAATTACCTCATTGATTATAATAATGTTTCAAATAAATCTTCAAATAAAATAGCATCATCAAATTCTAATATGGTATCATTATGTTGTTCACCTTCTTTTCATTCATCTGATTGTTCTTCTAATTCTTCAAGTTCGTCATCATATTCTAAATCTGATTCTGTTTCTTCCGAATTTAAAGTTTCTTCATCTAATGTACCATCTTCTTTTTTAACATCAAATTCTGAAAAGAACCTTGCATATATCAATGAAAATTCATCAAACTCTAACCTTTTTGAAGAAAATAAAGAAAACTATTATATGAGAAAGGAAAGTAGTTTATGCAAAATAAATTTATTTATTAAAGAAGCAAAATTATTATTTTTTAACAAAAATATAAATATTAGTGATGTATCTATATATGTAACAACTATATTAGAAGATAGAAAATATGTTGGAAAATTAAGAAAATTGAGTTCAAGAACACTACCATTGAATAATTTGATAATAAATGAATATATTAATCATAATGTTAAAGATATTTTTACAGATATTGTAATAAATGTAAAATATAAAAATAGAAAAAAAGAAAAAGAAGATATAGTTTTAGGAAGAGCTATTATACCATTATTTTTACTTTTAAATACTTATAAATGCAAAATTAAAAAAATTAAAAACAAAATGAAATATTGTATGAAATGTTTTCTATGGCTACACATATTTCCATGTAATAATAAATTATTTAATTATAAATTTTTTAAACCAGTTGAAGGATTTGAAGAATATGGGATGTTGAATCCTTTGTACACATTGGGTTTTTTAAATATTAAAATTAAAATAATTTTTAAAAAAAATCCTTTTTTTTTAACCTTTTTTAGTAATATGAGGAAGCCAATGTTTTATTATAAATTGCCTCTTCAATTTGAACCGCTTTATTGCCATTATTATAGTGAAAATTTTTATGTTTATCTTACTCATTTACCTCTTTGGTTATATAAATTTTTTTATATTTTTAACCACAGAAGAATTGAAAAGATACAATTAAATTGTTTTGATTTTATTTTTATCCTTCTTTTTTGGTTATTTTTATTTCGATTAGTTGTTTTCTCCCCATTTTGCCATTTATTTATTCATATGTTTTTCTGTATTTTATTTGTTTCATTATCTTATAAATATGGAATGATAGACTACAATAAAAATGTTTTTTATAACTTTCGTCCAATTAAAGAAACTAAAAAGAAAAGTTCTTATGAACAAATTAAATCAGAAATTGAAAATAGGAATATTTGCCACAATGAAAAAAAGAATGTACATTTTTATAATAAAGAGAGAGAAATATCTATATCTGGTGTTGAAATAGATTCTAATTATTGCAAGTATCCTTGTAATATTGAAAAAATAGAAGATAGTAATAAAGAAAGTTTTAACAATTGTTCTAAAAATGAAAATTTGTCAAATTGTACTTTAAATATCTGTGATTCGAAAAAATTATATTTATCAAATAATAGAATAAAAAATGACATAGAAGAAAATAAAATGAGAAGTATTTCAAATATAGATAAAATTTATAAATTGAGCAAAAAGGATGAAGTAAATGATAATGATAATTATAGTAGTGCTAATTATAATTACAAATATGATGATAATTTAAGTAATAATAGTTGTTGCAATATATATCATGTAAATTGTTACAATGGTGATTATATAAATTTTAATAATAATAGTAATTTTTGTTCGGCTGAAGAAAATAATTTAATAAAAGATTTCAGCAGCACCAATAAGGATAATTTAAAAATAGAAGATGATATTTACACAAATGAAGAAATTAAATATATAAATAGATTAAAATTAAAGGATGAAATAATTAAAAATAAAACTGAATCTGTAGAAACTTCAGATATAAAAAAAAAAACAAATAATAATAAAAAGAAAATTTTAAGTTCTATAGAAGAAATAAGTAATAAAAAAGGAAACTTAACAAATTTTGCAAAAAAGATACAGAATATTATGTTTGATAATAAAGATAAAAATAATTGGAAAAGTTTTAATAAAAATAAAAACATAAATGGATTTATTAGTATATTTAACAAAAAAAATGAAAAATTACCTCCTTTATGCACAGAAGAAGAAAAATACTCATGTAAAGAAAAAGGCGTATTTGAAAATGAAAAGAATAAAGAAGAAAGAAATATCATAAAAAATTTTCCAAAATCAGATAAGGATAAAGAGAAGAAAAATTATAAAATAGATATATCTGTTATTGATAATAATAAAGAAAATATAAATAATTTAAAAAATGAATGCGAAGTTAGTAGAGAATATGAAAACGAAAGCATTTTTAATTTATCATATAATGTATCAGATCTAAGTAAATATGAGAACAATACAGGAATTAATGATGAAGTGACTCCAAATTCGGATTTTGTTAACAATCCAATAAATTCTCATAATAATTGTAAAAATGAAAATAATGATAAAAATAATATGGTCCATTCAAATAATATTAGTACCTCATGTATTTATTCAAATAATTCTTCAGAAGTTAAATCACCAAAGAAAAATTTTCTTTTAGAAGCTTTTAACAATAATTGTTCTGCTAATGATCAAAATAATTTTTTTGATGTTAAAAAAAAATATCCTCAAATGCCTATTGTTAAATCCCCTTTTCATAATTTTTATTTATGCATAAATTCAATAAATAATAAAAATGTTCCCATTTTTTCTAATAATATAGAAGTTCCAAAAATCCATATAATTCTTAATAGATTACTTACTTTAGTGACATTATCTCAAAATTTTACTGGATTATTTACAATAAATTATGAAAAAATTAAATATGCATTTAATTGGGATTTTGATTTTTACACATCAGTAAATTTACTTATTTTATTTCTTATATGTTATAGTTTATCCTTTGTTTTATACTTTTTATCTTTTGTTCCATTTGTTGTATTCCGCTTTTTTTTTTTTGTTTTACTTTCCTTTTTGAGCATAAAAAGTTATGATTTTACAGAAAATGGGCATAGAGCTATTATATATTATAAAAAAAATAGAAATAAAGGAATAAAAAAAAATTTTTTTAAAAAATTTAAAATAATTAAGATAATGAATAATATATTTAAGAGGAAACAGAAATCAAAAAAATATATTTTTCTGAAATTCTTTCTTAAAATTTATAAATTCTTCAAGAATATTTCACAGAAAATTATTTTGTATATTTCATTTGGGATTTTTTTTATTAAAAATTGGTATATGAGATTATTAATTTTAAAAGATATTGATCATATGCATATAGCTAAATTACAGGCTTTCAAAAACTTATACTTTTTTATACATAAGCGTATGAAGAAAACAGGAAATACAATAAAATCAAATGAGACCAATAATAATATTAAATTAAATGAAACATCTAACACCAAGAGAAAGATTTCTAATGAAGAAAAAACAAATCATACTGATGAACAAGATAAAAAATTTATGAAATTTCGCATGTGTGAAAATTATAAAAATATAGAGGCTTGTATTTACTCATCAAGTGATAAAGAAGCAGTTAGTAAAACGAATGAAAATGAAAATGAAAATGAAAATACTGATGAGGATAATGATTCTTTAAGCCAAATAACGGATAATGGAAGCATGAATGTTCATGTTGATATTTTTTTACATTATTATTTTAAAAAAAGAAAATATGATTTATTCAACAATTTTATTAATATTAATAGAAATCATATGTGTACGTAATTTAAAAATATATAAGAAAAAATAATAATAATAATAATAATAATAATAATAAATCAAAATAATTAAATAATTAAAATGAAAGATATAACAAATTAAAATAATTTGAAAATATATTCTATTTGCTTAATTTTTTTTTTTTTTTTTTTTTAGATATGTATAAGGATATAAATTTATGTTATTCTAATGAGGAAGAAAAAATTAATCAATTAAATTATAGTGAATATTTTAATAGTGAAAATAATTATTCTAGTTCATACGATATCAATAAAAAAAAAAAAATTAAGACAAATTCTAACTATTTGTGTATATAAAAAAAAAAAAAAAAAAAAATAGGTTCCATTGTGAATAAAAAATTTTTGTTTTTTTAATTTTATTTTATTTTTTTTTAATTTAGTTCTTTAAAAACATCTCTTTTTATGTATGTATGTAATTAAACATTAATTTTACTTTTTAGTTTTAATGTTCAAAGGAATATTTTTAATTTTATATATAAGAATTCTAATTTAAACAAACATAATACAATATATACATTGTAGAAAAATTATTAATATACTTAAAAACCTTATGCTTTTTTTTCTTTATATTTTTTTAAGAAATTAATTTTTGAAACAAAAAATAAAAATGGTAATGTTTATCTAGTAAAGCTTATAATTTTTATTTATTTTATTTTTTATTGAATAATAAAAAAAAAATTTTAAAAAAATATAAATATCTACAATGATTTTATTAAATAAAAAAAAAAAATATACATTAAACAAAATTAAAAAAAAAAAAAATTTAAAGAAAAAAAAAATCAAAAAAAAAAGGGGATTTCTAATTGATAATTTAATTAATAATCTATTATTATTAGATTAAATAACTTTTAAAATAACAATTTATTAGACATTCAGATTTTACTAAAATAAAATAAATGATATTCTTTTTTCTTTATGTTATTTACGTCATTTGTTTAGTTACACTAATTTACTGCAAGATTTTATTATATAGTTTTTTTTTTTTTTTTATTCTAATATTTTATTTTGAAAGGAATGTATATATATATATTATTTTGTTTAATGGAGTCAAGATTTTATAAGAAAAGATTTTTTCTTTCGTTTTTTTTTTTTTTTAGTAATCAACCCACCTTTTAGGATGTTTTAAGATTTGTAGAGTTTCGTATTCTCTTGAATATTTTACTACTTTATATTTATATAAAAATTCACATCTTAATGGCAAAGAAGACAAAACATTACTAATTTTTTCGTGTTCATCAGAATCATAATCTGAAACTTGTTCATCAAAAATTTCATCTTTTATAAAATTAGTTGATGAAAAATTTTCAATATTTTTTTTTTTTTTTTTTCTCCTGTAAGTTTTAAATTTATTTAACTCTATACCAAACTTTGTTCCTCTGTCATATATGAGATTAAATTCAACGTATCTACCTCTGCATATTCTTTGCCATTTTATCATATTATCGTCATATTTATAATTAATTGTTTCTAATAAGATATGAAAATAGGATTTTCTAAAAGCTATAATACATTCTTGAATAAACAAATATATCATTCTATAACTTTTATCCATTATAGGATTACAACTGTAGCATTTACATTTCTTTTTTTCAAGCAAAGAATTTTTATTTCCTTCTTTTGATACTCCATTTTTTAAAATTTTCTTATATTTTATGTTATTATTTAGTAGGTTATCAAAAAATATTCCTCCTATTCCTCTATTTATGTTTCTGTGTTTTATTCTAAAGTACAAATCACACCATATCTTAAAATATTTATAAAACAAATGATTATATTTATCACAAATTAATTTAAAAGAATTATGAAATTTTTTAAATAAATCAGAAAAAATATAACAAGGGCTTAAATCACAACCACCTCCAAACCAATGTTTTATACTTTTATAATTACTTCCTATTTTATTATTAGTAAGATTATTTTTTTTTTTTTTTTTTCCAGTTTTAATAAATATTTGAAAAAATCTAAAATTGGAATGAATAGTGGGAACATTTGGATTAATAGGATGAGCTATTATAGATATTCCTGATGCGTAAAACTTATATTTTTCATTTACTACTCTAATATTATTAGAATTCATAACTTTTGAAATTATATTGTTAATATCTTCAGAGTGGCATATTTTAGTAGTATTGATATATTCTTTATTATACTGATTAACACACATCTGTTTTGCAGCATCTTTATCTATTGTTCCGAATACACACGAATAATTCACTGCACATTTTTCAAAAACACTTCCATTTTGTAATATTCTAGTTATACCACCACCCCCATTCTTATTTTTTTTATATTTTCTAAACCACAATTCTTCTTCAAATTTGATTGAATCTATAGATTCAAATAAATCACATATATTTTTTTGTTCACTTTTTAATAGGTTTTCCCATAAATTTCTAAAATATTCATTAGGAGATATCTAAAATTTTTACAAAAAAAAATAACATATAAAAAATATTAAAAGGATGTGCAAATTTAAAAAAAAAAAAAAAAAAAAAAAAAAAATTATTAAAAAGTAGAAGTAATAATATATTAAGAAATAATAAAAATGTTGTTAAAAATTATATGTATCTTTAACATATATATATACATATGAATAACAAATAAAATACTACAAATTCATAACCAAGAAAAATTTAAAGTGTATATATATATATATATGTATATTTATAGATGCATAATATATATCATAAAATATTTTTTTTCTTTAAATAATATTATATATATACCTCATCTTTCATTTTATTCTGAATTATTTTTGCAAAACAGCAAAGTTTATTTTTTTCTTTTTTTCTTAGAACAAAAAGTAAACTTTATAGATTAACATAAAAAATGTATCAATGATAATGAAATTAATTTTTTTTTTTAATTTTTATAGAAAAAAAAAAAAAAAAAAAAAAAATACAACTCTATGTTTATAACTAAAAAAAAAAATATATATATATATTAAAAATATGAATACATAACTATTTTAAAAATAATTTAAAGTATATAATAATATTAATAAATTAAATAACAAAAACGATATCAAAAGTAATAGAGATTGTAAAATTATTAAAAAAAAAAAAAATAAATAAATAAAAAAAGAAGCAACTTTTTTTTTTTTTTTTTTTATGAATTGTATTTTAAAAAACACACCACTAAACAAATTACTATCTTATTATAATATAATAATATAGAAATTAAACAAATACACAAAAAAATAGTTACATTAAAAATGATAATATAGAAATTCTAAATAATACTTATAAAAGATTATTAAAACAATAAAAGACGAAGTGCCATCATCTGTGGTAATTCATTAAGAACAAAATTACCATTAAGATAATTATAAAAGAAAAAAATTTATAATTTTTTGATGTTCTATTTTATTATTTTGTTTTTTCTAATATGTATCATTTTTTTTATTATGTAAATTTAGTTATAAAAAAATGAAAATATAAAAAAATTCATAAAGTCGTAAAAGTATGTTTCTTATTTAACTTACATTTCTTTTTTTTTTTTTTTTAAATATTAGAACTTTTCATATGTAAAATAAAAAAGATAATCAATTTAAGCATTTAATACATATATGGAAAAAATGTATTTATTTCAAAATTCTTTAAAAATTTTTAGGCAAAAACAAATAAGAAAAAATAAAAAAATGATATATTGTTTGTAATAGTTACAAAATTAATACATGTGATTTTAATTCCTTTCTTTTTTTTTTTTTTTTTTTTTTAATTAATTTTTTTAAAGTTTAAAGGGAAAAAAAGCAAAAAAAAAAAAAAAATTTATTTTTAAATTTGTATTTAAAAAATTTGGTATGTAAATATATTTATATCTCATAATAAATATAATTATATATATATATATATATATATATATATAATTTTTAAATTCTTCATTTATTTCTTTTACGAGTGTTACAATATACTTTGAATAAACGCTTGTATTTTTTCAATAATTTTCTTTTATTTTTTTCTTTTTCATTCTTCCCATATTCTTCAATTAATTTTTCTACATTCTTAATATTTTTTGTTTTACATTCTTTAGTAACAACACCATTTCTAAAAAAAATAAAAAAAAAATGGTATTATAAAGAAATAAAAATACAAGGGGTAATGGTATATTATATAATTAATAAAGTATGCTAATATTATTTATTTTTTTCTTAATTTTTACTTTTCATTTAATTTTTTAACAAGTAATACTGGTTTTCTTTTCAATATTCTCACATTTATACAATTATCTTTTACTAAACCTAAAGGATAAATATATAAAGAATGTTTTTTTTAAATAAAAAAAAATAAAAAAAAATAAGTAAAATAAAATAATACCACTATTAGATGGAGTGTTTTTACAATAAACATTATAAGGATCACATGAGAATACTCTACTTCCTCCTCTTTTATTTTTTTTAAGGAAACAACTGTTTTTCTTTGTTAATTCCCATATAAGAGCATTACTTATATTCGACATTTTCTTAAAAAAATTGTTAATATATAAATTTGTGTGTTTTACAAAAAATTGTTTTTTTTTTTTCTACTTTAAGAACTTTTCTTTTTTTATAAAAAAGTTAAATTTAATAAAATATAAAATAATAAAAATTAAAATTAAAATCAATAAAAAAAAAAAAAAAAATTTTTAATTTTAAATTAAAAGAAAAAAAAAATATTTATATACTAATGTTTTTTTTTTTTTTTTTTTTCATGAACATATATATAATATTAAAGAAAAAAAAAAAAAAGTGTCGTGTTTTATTTTTCTTTTTGTTTTTATAATTTTTTATTTCTGAAAGCATAAATCTTTAAAAATTTACATTTTTTACTTCAATTATTATTTTTTTTTAAATTGTTAATATTATTTCTTTTAAAATTATATACAATCACTTTCATCACTTAAGAAAAATATATAAAAATTAAAGGTTATGCAAGTTATGAATTATTATAAAATTAATTTTTAATAGAAATTATAAAATATAAATATATTGCCAACTTTTAAAACATAAAATTTTAAAATTTTCTTTTTAAAATATTAATATAAGATTTACTAATTTAGTAATTGGCACATTTAAATTTTAAAGAAAAAAAATTTTTCGTAGGCCTACATATTTTTTGTTCTATTTTGTAAAGAGGATATGAAAATTTTCAAAATTTTTTCTATTTATAAAATATAATACTTTTATTTAATTATAAAATGTTGTTTTAAATGTTAATAAAATGTACTAAAATTCAATTTTTTTCAAATTTTTATAAAAAAATTAATTATAATATTTTATATAACAGAGTATGTCTTTGTTTTTATATCCATGCGCGTTCAAAATAATTATATGAGACAAAATAAATAAAAAAAAAAAAAAATAAAATAAAAGTTAAATAAAAATGTAGGAAATAAAATAAGATATTTTATGAAATGATATAAAAATTCAATAAAAATTAAATATTTGAAGGATACATAAGTATTCTGACTCTATCTCCAAATGCTTTGGGTGGAATGTGAGTTCTAAATTTAGCTCTAATTACACCATTATTACCATGAGTTCTACATACTTTTCCCCATATACACTATAAATAAAAAGAAAAAAAAATATACATATATATATATATATATATGAATTCTCTATAAACCATTAATTTTTTTTTTTTTTTTTTTTTTTACTTTAATTTTCACTCCATTATGATGTTTGTTTGTTCTATAGACATAAGCTACTCTCTTTCCAACATAAAATTGAGCGTGTTGTTTTGTATTTACATTTTTGATAGCTATTAATGTAAAATTTGGATCTTGATTTCTTTGAGATCTGAAAAGGAAAAAAAAAAAAAAAAAATGAAATGTATTGAAATAAAAGAGAACATTAATAAATATCTTATTCTTTTTTTTTTTTTTGTATTCTATTATCTCATTTTTTTCTATGTAATTTTTTTTTTTTTTTCCTATTTATATATATTTTTATTAGATATAAATATATTTAATAAATTATTTAATTCCTCATATATTATATATTTAAAAACAATATTTTTTCATACACATAACTTTTAATTAATATTCTTCGTTATTCTGTGTTTATAGATATTTATATATTTATATTTTTAATAAAAAATTCTACAATTTCTCTTTTTTAATTATCATTATTTTTTTTTCATAGCAGTACACGCATTAAAGTAACATTATAAATTTTTTTCTTAACTTTTTATATATCAATTTTTTTTTTTTTTTTTTTTTTATATATATATATTTTTTTTATCTTCATTTTTTGTTTAAATTACCTTTTATATCCTAATATAACTCCTTTCTCATATAATCGAACTGCTTGTGTTTTTTTTGATGATTTCTTATTTTTTAATTGTTTTTTTACTTTGTTTTTTTTTTTGATAGAAGTTTTTTCTTTATTTTTATTTTCTTCCATTTTAGTAAACTGATGTTTTTAGTATATAACTATGAAAAAAAAATTTTTGAAAAAATTAAGTTTTATATAAGAAATTTCTAAAAAATTTTTAAATATAAATGGCCTTTTGATACATCAGTTTTTTTTATTAAAAAAATATATTGAATAAAATTATGGCAATATATAGATATAAATATATATTTTTTTTTAAAAAAATATATTAAAAATATTGAATATCATAATTTTTAAAAAAAAAAAAAAAATTATAAGATGTAAATAAATATATATAATTTATTTTGTATATGTATATGTATACATATATATATATTTTTTTTTTTTTTTTTTTAGATTTACATTTGTGCAATAAAAAAATAAAATTGTAGGAACAAATATTTAATGATCTATTAATTTTTAAACAATGATACATTAAGTTAATAATATATAATTAAAAAGAAAGAAAAAGCAAATAAAAAAAAAAAAAAAATGTAAAAAATAATATTTGTGATATATATACTTAAGTATATTTTTTTTTTTTTTTTTTTATTTTATAAATTCAACGTACACTTTAATCTCCTTTCCCAAAAAAAAATGAGTTTAACAATATGTTGCTTTGTTTTAAATAATAATATATTAAAAAAAATATTTAAAAAACAAAAAGTTAAAAGTTCTCAAGTTATTTAATAAAAACAAAATTAAATAATTGAATTAATTAAAAAAAAAATAAAAATTCAAATACATAATTCATGAAAAAAAAAAAAAAAAAAAATATATATTTATATATACAAAAAATATGTCATATTTTTTAAAATCTTTGATATATTTTATGTATTCATATGTATTGTTTAATTACATAAAAATATTAAATAAAAAATTAAAATAAATAAAATTAAGAATATAAAATTATATAATAAATAATATTATATAAAAGACATTAAAATTAAACATACATGTAATTTTGAAGAGAGTTTTCTATATATATATATATATATGTATATAGGCATATCACAATTTTTCACATTTTATCATAATAAAAGTTTGATCTAATTCTGAAAATTTTGTTTCAAATAAATTTTTATCTAAATTAATAAAGCAATTATTAAAATAATGTTTTGGAATAGGGTAAAATTGTAAATTAAAATTATTATTTTTTAATTCTTCTAAAAATGAGTGAATTCCATCTCTGTTTTTTTTACAAACATAAAAAAAATTACCATTTTTTTTCAAAGTCATATTAAGGAAGTAAATAAGTGGTTCTACCATATCTTGACTGTAAATTAAATCACTTCCAATTATACAATCATATGTTATAATTTCATTATTTTCTTTTATATAGGTGTTTTTATTTTTCAAATCAACATTACAAACAGTAATTTTATCTTTCCATTTTAAATCAACAATATCTAATAATTCTTTATTTAGATTTATATTATAAGAAATATTATTTAATGTAAATAAATTAATATCGCTAATTACTAAATTATTTAGACCATTATTCTTATTTACTACATTAGAATAAACAAATAAAGATATACTAGCCAAACCACTACCTGCACCTATTTCTAATACATTTTTATTAGAAAAATTATTTTCTAAACATAAGTCACATATCCATTTACTAAATATTAAACAGCTTTCCCATATATTAATTCCAGTTATATCATTTTGTGATGTTTTATCATCTAAAGAATCACCATAATAATTAAGTCCAATTTCTCTTATCTTTATTATAATGTTGTTATTATTTAATTTTATATTTTCATTTATTAAAAGTTCATATACACATTCTTGCACAATTTTTGCTTCTTCTAAATTAGTTGTAAAGGAATTATTTAACGTATGAGTCTTTTCTTCTACTGTTTCAATATTACTATCATTATTTATATTAACATTTATATAATTATTGTTACCAGAATTTATGTTGTCAGTATTTTTGTTATTCTCGGCTAATTCATTATTTAAACATTCATTTAAATTACAAACATTTTTGTCCTTAAAGTTTTCAATATTATTATTTTCATTATCATGAAAAATAATTTTTGCATTTTCATTTGGATATGAATTTTCTTGATTATCAAGAACACTAGACATAGGATGACTTAAAATTAAATGTAAAATATTTTCGTTTTCTATATTGAATGCTTCTGATAGAATATTTTTATTGTAAAAATTTTTTTTTAGTAAATCTATTTTATTCTTTTGTTTATATAAATTAATTCTCTCTACTTCTGATTTTTCTGTAATATCAAAAACATTATAAATATCAATTGATTGTATTTTTTTTTTAATATAAGAGGTTAATTTATAATTTTCTTTCAAGAAATCATTCTTTATATCTCTCATATTTTCATATAAATCATTTTTTTTTTTTTCAATAGATAGATATTCATTTTTATTTAAAAAATAATCAAAAAATAATATCTCTTTAACTGCTTCATAATGTTTGTTCTGAATAGCCCACAATAAAGGAGTATTTCCATTGTTATTAAGTTGGTTATAATTAATACTGCATTCATATAACAAAAATAAAATCATATCAACATTATTATTAGCACAAGCATAATGTAATAATGTATTATTATTTTCATCTTTTATGTTAATTGTATAGATTTTTTCATTTTCTAAAATACTTTTTACTTCTTCTATATCATTTGTTCGTACATAATAAATTAAATCTTCTATTATTTCTTCCATTCCTTCCATTTCTTCCATTTCATTTTTACTAATTTGTTGAACTGATTCATTATATTCTATTTTTTCCATTTATAATAATATTATATTAATATAATATTATGATATATATATATATATAGTTGATGTTTATATTAACAATTTTATAAAATAAAAAAAACAAATTAAAATATTACAAAAATATCAAGATTTTATTTCTTATAATTTATAAATAAAAAAAAAAAAAAAACTTTTTTTATATATGACGTATAACCATTTATATAAAATTTTAAAGCATAATTATAAATCCTCATTTAGTTCTAATGTATTATTGCATATATTTATAAATATTCAATAAATTTCTTAAAATAAAAAAATGAAATTATACTAAATATTATTATTTAAAACTATTTTCATTTAATAAGTAAATCTTAAAAAAAAAAAATTATATTATCTATAGAATACATGTATATTATTTTAAAAGCAAAAATGTTTAAGAACATGAGAGAAAATACATTGGTAAATAAAAAAAAAAATTGAGCTACATTTAAAAAAAAAAAAAAAAAAAAACAGTAGGTGATTATTATATGTGAAAGTATTAAAAAAAAAAAAAAAAAAGAGAATAAAAAATAGTTTTAACGAATGTTAAGCTTAAATAAAATTGATATGCAGTAAAAAGAAAAGAAGAGAAAAAATTAATTTCACTTTTTTTTCAATTAAATTTAATTCTAAAAAATTATTTTTAAAAATTTAAAGTATATCTTATTTATGGGTGGAAAATTTTTAAGGAAAAAAAAGTAATTAATATTACAAAATATTACTGTATTTTTTTTAAAATTTTTTTTTTTTTATTTTTTTCTGTTAAATATATCTGTTGTGAATAAATAAATACTTTAGGGTAAATTGAAAAATATATATATATTTATATATAAAATGAGAATAATTAATTTTTTCTTTAAAAGTAATATAAGTAATTGTGAAGAAAAAGGAAAAAATTCACCTTTTCATGATATAAATAGAACCAATAATGATTCTGTTATTGATGTAATAAAAAAAATTCCTATTAATCCATTTATTGATAGTAATGAAAATTTAAATAAATATAAATATGATGTTGAAAAAAAGAATATTGAAAGATTTACAGGATTAAAAGTTTATGAAGAAGAAGATGAGAAAGATCATAAAAAGAAGCAACCAATAGATTATCCATTCCCAATTAGTAAAAATTTAGTATTTCAAAAAAATAAAGTAAATAAAACAGATGATCGTATAAATATAAACTATAGTAATATAGTAAGTGATCTCTACCCAGAAGAAGGATATAAATCACCAAATAGAAATAAACATTTTTCTTCAGAATGGGAAATTCTATTAGCTCATAATCATGGTTTATATGATTTTAAGAATCCAGATAATAATGTAATCGTTAATAAAGATATGTATTCATTGAATACTGAAAATGATATTAGAAATAAATTAAATTTATATATAGAAAGAATAAATGTAGATAATCCTAATGATGCTTGCAAGTATTTAGCAATAGAAGAATATAAATGTTTATTAACACATTCATTTCATATGAATCCAATCTTAAGTAATCAAAAATGTGTGAAATGGTTTAATGAATATATGCAGTGTAAATGGGATGAACATAAACTAAATTATGGTTATAATTATATAGAGAATAGAAGAAATAAAAAATCAAAGGCATATATAGCAGCACCTGATTATCAGTATTCTTAAAAGAGAAAAAAATAAATATAATTTTAATTTTTAGTTTTAATAAAAAAAAAAAAAAAAGTACAATTTTAATTTAGTTAAAAAATAATTAAAAAAATATTTTTAAAAAACTAGAATTATATTAGGATAATAATTTTAACAAATATATTTTGAAGTTTTTTTTAACTCTATGTTATTTTGTTTATTATTTATTTAAAATTTTCATTTTTTCGTCTCTTGAATTATTAAGAATATACATTTAAAATATATTCTTATTTAATGAAAAGAATTATAACAAATTTTAAGTTTGTTGCAAAATAATTTTTCTTTTTTTTTTTTTATTTATATATTAAAGAAAAATATAGAAATTATATTTAATACATATAATAGATTATATTAACTCTATAGTGTAAAATAAAAAACCATTTTTTAATATTCATTGTTTTTCTAAAAAAAAAAAAAAAAAAGATAAATCATGTTATGAAACTAGTAAAATCATCAGTGTTTTACAATTTTAAAAACTTAAATATTTGATATTTAAAAATTTTCAATGAGTTAATATTTTAAACTTTCTTTATGAAAAAAAATTTAATATACATATATATATATATATATATATATATATATCTTTCAAATCAAACATAAACAATTTTTCGAATGTTATAACTTTTGAAAAAAGTTTACTTTTATTTTTACATATTCAGACATTTTTAATTATGCTTATATAAAAAATGTAGACCATTATAAAAATATAATTTAAATAAAAACTTCAAAATTATATTTTAGGACGATATAAATTTCTATTATAAAAGTGTTGCTTAAATTATGAAGGGAATATATTATTATATTTTATTCATTATATATTTTCTTTTTTTTTTTTTTTTTTTTTTTTTTTTTTTTTAGCATATGAACTAAATATATATTGGGAAAACATTTAAAAAAATTTTTATTTATAAAAAAAAAAAAAAAAAAAAAAAAAAAAAAAAACATAAAAGCAACAAAGATATTCATGTATTTTACTTTGTTATGTAATCATTTAATTAAATTTAATTATAAAAATAAGAAATTCAATATGAATGAGATTGAAAATAAAAAGAAATTTCCTTTAAATGATATTATAAATCCATATAAGAAAAAAGGGATTGCTAAAAAGAAGAAACCTTCATCAAATAGTAAGTTTTTATAACTTTATTTTTATTCTACATCAAAAAATTTAATAAAAAATAAATGTGTGCATGTATACATTAGAATAAATTTGAATTAAATAATTTTATTTTATACATTGGTTCATCTTTTTTTTTTTTTTTACATTATGTTATAATAAATATTTATATTTTAGTACAACTTTTTTATTCTTATAAACATTAGTTATAAACTAGATTTTCTTTTACATTTTTTTTATATAATAAAATTTTACATTTTAATTTTTATATATTTATTTTAATTAAGTAATAATTACATTATGCCTTTTAATTTACACAAGTAAACATATATATTAACATAGAAAAAAATTTTGAAATTAAATAAATTGCATACATATGCATAATATTAAAATTTTTGTAAAAATGAAAGTTTTTTTAAAATTAGCACATGAAATTATTGTAGAAAATAAAAATTTATTTTTTAGTTTTTTTTAATGTTGTTGTTTAGTTAATTTGTATTAAGTAAATATTATTTTATTTAAAGAATAAAAAAAAAAAAAAAAAAAAAAAAAAAGTTGTCTAAAATATATTATTGCTTTATGCATGTATAATTATACATAATAAATAAAAATAAAGAGCTTTTTTTTTTTTTTTTTTTTTTTTTTTTTTTTTTTTCCCATACATGCGTAACTATGTAAAAAATAAAAAAAAAGTGTTATATAAAATATATTTTCTTGAAAATTTTAAATTTACTAAGTTTTTAATTTTCTACAGAAAAAAAATTATATAAAATGAATGTTTTTGTTGAAAAATAATAACATAAAAATTAAAAAACATAATTTTTTTATATTTGTACTAATAGAATTTGTTTCTTATTTAATTTAAACTTTTTTTTAAATTTTATTAATTTTAATATTTTCTGATTTTTTTTTTTTACTTTTTTTAATTTTTTTTTTTTGTGATAGTTTTATTACTATTATTTACATTATTTTATAAAATTTGAAAAAAGTACCTTGTAAAATAGTCACCAATTTTTTTTTTTTTTTTTTTTTTATAAGCTACTAGTTTAGTTTTGGTACTGAATTATGTTTATATTTTAAAAATAATGATATTTTAAATTATTATTGATACAAATTCTTTGTTTATTTATTTGTTTTCTAAAATTTTAATAAAATTTTTGTGATGAAATGATTTCACTTAATACCAAGTAATTGTTTATATGTTGTCTTTTTTTTTTTTTTTTTTTTTTTTTTTTTTATCTATATTAACTCTCAGACTATTACTAAATATACAATTATCTACTATTTAATTAATTGCACACTTATTCTCCGTATTTTTTTTATATATTTTAATGATATTTTTTTTTGAAGATCTTATTTTAAATTATACTGTGTGATCATTTGTGATTTTTTTTTATTTTTAATTAATTATATATAAAAATATGTTAAATAATTTATTTATTTTTATTTTTTTTTTTTTTAAATTTTATTCTATGTAAATCCATTCTTATATATTTTAAAACATCTTTTTATTTTTATTGTAAACAAAAAATATATAATTTTACTTTTAAATTCTCTCATTTATGACAACATTTATTTGATTACCTTAATGATTTCTCTAATAATTTCTTACACATATATTTTTAGTATGTTTTTTAATTCTCTACATAAATGTGTAATGAAAATTATGTTATTATTTATTATTTTTTATTTTATATTTATGTATTATAATTACAAAAAATTCATTTATAAGATTAAATAATATGTTTCCTTTTGCACATTATACACCTATATTTTAATAATATTTTATTTTAATAAATAAATTTTGATCTTTTGTAAAATAATAAATTTTACTTTTTCTAATAAATTTATATTTACATAATTTACTGAAGTAGCTTAAAATTTTTATGAATGAAATAGACATTTCAAACAAGTTATAAAAATATTTTTAATAAATTTAAATTATTTTTTTTCTTTGTTTTTTTTTTAAATTTTTTAATAAATTAAAAAATTTTTAGATATTAGTATTTATTTGGAAGAATTTGATAAGCAAATATATAAAGCTCAATATAAAAAGGTATATATAAGTGAAGGAAAAAAATTGAGTCATAATAATGTAAATGTTAAAAAAGAAGTATCAAAAGATTTTATTAATTTATTATCTAAATCAAGTTGTGAATTTAACAAAAAATTTAAACTTACCTTGATGAATTCAAAAGAAATTCCAAAAAAAAAAAACTTAAATAATTCTTATAACTTAAAAAATATAGTTGATAACATTAAAACTAATAGAAAAATAAATAATTATTCTTTAAAAGTAGTTAAAAACAACTATATTGATGAAATGGATCTAGAAAAAGAAAATAATTGTATAATTGATAGAAATAAAGTAGATCAAGTAAGCAAATATATATATACAAAATTTCCTAAATTTGAGACACATAAAAAAATAAAATTGTACAATATTAAAATATCAGAACTTATTTTAGAAAATAAGAAATTAAAAAAGTATAATAATAATTTAGAAAAAAGAATTTTAGAGGAAAATACTGTCTTTGAAGAAAATTTTAAAAATTATGAAATATCTATATCTAATGCATTACGTTTAGGATATTCTTCTTTATTTTTATCTAATGTATTAAATAAAATTATCTATAGGGATAAACAATTTGTTTTAAGAGAATTAATGAGAATAAGAGATGAATTTAAAAACAATTTATTAAAATCATATATTCATAAATATTCTGCAGACAAACTATTAATTAACAGTATGGTTATAAAGATAGATTTAATATATGAAAAAAATGTAAAATCAGTAACTCTCTTATTAGTTAGCATTATAAAAAATAAATTAAGACATTTTTTAAAATTTTTTTTGAATAATATTTTATTCATAAAAAAAGAAAAAGGAAAACTTCCAGGAGGAATAGAAAGTGATGAATTTTTTTTTAGTCTTTCCTTTTTAAATCATGTTGAAAAAGTAGAGAGTTTATTAGGTTTAGTTAAATTAATTCATACATTGAAAACTCGCATATATATAATATTACAATATTGTTTTTCTAAATTAGTAAGTAATAATGATGAAAATTTCAATAAAAAAAAAAGAACTAATAGAAATAAAAAAAAAAAAATTGATAATTCAAGTTATATAAATGGAATTGATGATGTAAAAAATGTAAAAATTGATGATATGAAAAATGTAAAAATTGATGATATAAAAAATGTAAAAATTGATGATATGAAAAATGTAAAAATTGATGATATGAAAAATGTAAATATTGATGATATGAAAAATGTAAAAATTGATGATATGAAAAATGTAAATATTGATGATATGAAAAATGATTACAATGATAAATACACAATAGAGGAAAATGATTTAGTTAATAACATAGATAATTATAATAAAAATACAAAAAAAAATAGTATTGATAACTATATTGAAACATACAATGAACTTTCAAGTAAAGAAAATTGTATTTTATTAGATAAAAAAAATATTATAAATAATTTAGATAATTATGATTCTAACATGGAGGATGATAACTCAAGTAAAAACAGTTATATTCCGCATCCAAATGAAGTTTATAATTATTTATATTATGGAGAATTATTAAAATTAAAAAAAAACAAATCTCAAAATTATTTTTACAATCATATTGATGATAGTGAATGTTTTAATTCTTTCCAATTTGATAGTGAAACATCATTTTCATGTTATGATTTAAAAGAAGAAATTACTATCAAAAAGTTTTCATCAACTCAAAATGTGGAAAATTATCTTAAATTTGTTTGGAGCAAATTAAAAAATTATAACAATCATATTAAAGAATATTCGAAAAAAATAAAAAATGATAATATAGATGTTTTTTTCAATGAGCCAACAGATTTTTCAAAATCATCAAAAGAATATTCAATAAATAAAAAATGTGATCAATATGATAAATCTATTTATTTATTTTTATTAAATGAAAAAAGAAAAATTCTAGAATTGTTAGAACAACATGGTGCATTTCAAATTTGTGAAAAAAATTTTATTAAAAAAAATAAAAAAGAATATGCAAATTTATATAAAAGAAAAAAATTGGAAATTGATAATTGTAAACAGAAACAGCTAGAATTCTTAAAAATAACAAATGAAAGAATGATTAATGAAAGAATGATAAATGAAAAAATAAATAAAAAACGAATAAATAAAATTAATATGAAATGTAAAAAAGAACCAAGTATATCATTAAATCAATCATATAAAAAAAACAAAATTCAACTAGTAACAGGATCAGACAAAAAAAATAACAGTGAAATGATTGAGGAAAATTGTGGATTAAAAAATGTCGATAATTGTGATTTAGAAGTCGAGAGTTTTGTGAAAGAAAATAAGAAAAAAAAAATATCACTTCACATGATAAAAAGTGAATTGAAAGATATTATTTCTCAAATTTATGATAACAATAACGATAACATAGAAAAGAAAAATTTCTTTGATAAAAAAATTGAAGATATAAAAAATAAAGTGAGTAATATAAAAGAAAAAAGTTTTTTATGTGTAGTAGGTGAAGGACCTCCAACAAGTATGAATTTAAGTTTTAATAACGAATCTCAATATATGAATAAAAGTAAAGAAGAAAATGTAGACAATTTAAAAAAATCAGAAAGTAAAATATTGTTAACTCTTAAAAAGTAATTAAAAATTTATCTATTATATATAAAAAAGTAGAGACTATAAAAAATTAAGGTTGATTTTAATTAATTCAGAATTACATTATTGAAAAATTGGAAGTTTAAAATTAAGAAGCAAATTTATGATAATGTTACAAAATTTACGAAAAAGAATATAATAAAAAAAAAAAAAAAAGAAATATATATATATATATATATATATTTTATTTTTGTGTATAATTTTAATTTGTTAATTATTTCTTAAAAATTTTTTTTTTCTTTTCATTTATTTGTGCTATATAATACTTTTAAATAATTCTACTAAGTTTTTTAAATTTATCTTAATATTTCTACATTTGGTTTTTATATTATTTTAGGTTTTTTTTTTTTTTTTTTTTTTTTTTTTTTTTTTTTTTTTTTTTTTTTTTTTTTGTTATTACTACATATTATATGTTCATTTTTGTTCTGTATATGATTCTTTTTTATTCTTAATCTTTTTTTTCCTTTTTTATTTTTAACATGTGTTTCCTACTTTAAGATTCTATGAATAAAAATTAAATTAATTTTCCATTTTAATTATTAAAAATATAAAAAAGTTACTTTTTAAAAGCAATATAAATATAAAATAAATTAATAAAAAAAAAGAAATAATTAGGAATATAATTTTTATATTTAATAAGTTAATAAGAAAAATGGTTTAAAAAAAAGAATTTTAAATTAAAAAAAAAAAAAAAAAAAAATCGATAGTCATTTATACACATAAAAGTATATATTAAACTAACAGAATACTAATAAAAAATTAATATTATTTAAAATAGAGTAGAATATATTAAAGAATTAAAAAAAAATATATATGAAAAAAAAAAAAATTACTAAAAAATATGAAAAAAATTAGATACAACAAAATAATAAAAATAATTACATTAAAAAAAAAAATGTAAACATAAAATCAAATAAAAAAATCTCACAGAGCAAAAAGAAAGAAAATATACTTTTCATCTCATTTCTATTTTATGTCTCTACTAATTTTTAAATTCATTTTTTTATTTTATTATTTGTTTTTCTTTGAAGGAAAAAATATAAAGGCAATTTATTTTAAGAGAAGTTTACAAAATAATAAAAGAAGTATGATGCGAAGTTTGTACCTTAATCTACATAAAATCAATGTATTAAAATTTAAAAATAAAATTAAAAATTATGAATTTAATACAAAGAAATATGTATTATTAAATTGTAGTAAAAATTTTTTTTCAACATTTTCTCTAAGTGATGACGATAAAGAAATTGAACACAAAATTGATCAAATGTCTTTTACTATTAGGGATAACACAAATATATACAAAGAAGAAACAAAGAATATTCCTATTTTATTAATTCATGGTTGCTATGGTTCGAAAAAAAATTTTCGCAATTTTAGTAAAATGTTAAAATCAAATAAAATTATAATATTAGATTTACGAAATCATGGAGATTCTAAACATACAGAAAGTATGAAATATGTTGATATGGAAACTGATATTAAAAATGTTTTAGAAAAACTTCATATAAAAAAATGCTGTTTAGTTGGTTTTAGTTTAGGAGGAAAAGTTTCAATGTATTGTGCTTTGAAAAATCCCACTCTTTTTTCTCGTTTAATAATAATGGATATACTTCCATTTAATTATAACTCTAATAAAATACATATAAAGCAACCATATAATATTGTACAGATGACGAATATTTTACATAAAATTAAAAAAAAAGAACCAAAAAATAAAAATGAGTTTTTAAAATATCTTAAAGAAGAATTACCAGATATTTCAAATACTTTCGCTCAATTTATATGTATGTCTCTTAAAGAAAATGATAAGAAAAATCAATTAATATGGAAAATAAATGTGGATACAATATATAATGAATTATCTCATATTATGAATTTTCCTTTAAACTCAGATAATTATAAATATTTTAATCCATGCAGCTTTATTATAGGCAAAAAATCAGATTTAGTTTTTTCTATACCACAATTTAATAATATTATAAATAGTTTTTTTCCAAATTCAAAACAATTTATTTTAGAAAATTCTTCACATACTGTATACATAGATGAAGCACAAAAATGCTCAAATATTATTAACAATACATTGTGTCTATAAACTAAAAAAATTTTTTTTTTTTAATATATTATACTTAAAAAATAAAGTAATAAATGAATAAATTAACATTTAAATAACGCACATATTTAAAGAATAATATAAATAAATAAAAATTTCCTTATAATAAAGTTTTATTAAAGAATTTAAAGTATATTTTTCCTTCAACTTCTAGATTATTAAAATTTTTTTTTTTTTTTTGTATAATTAATTTCTTAAAAGTTTTAATATTTTGAGTTATAATTCTTCAATTAGTAAGAATAATTCCTTTTAATTTATATGGTTCTCATAGATACTAAATAATGTTTCCCTTGTTTTTAATAATTTCGTATTAGTGAAAATAAAAAAGTTACTTTAGCATTTGAATTCTTTTATACATTAAGAATTTATATAAAAAGGAGAATATTATATATGTAATAAATAAAGATAAGTTTTTAATATTAATTTGAAAAAAAAAAAAAAAAAATAAAATAAAAATAAAGTTACTTGAAAAAATATTTTTAGTATATGAATAAATTATTTAACTTGGTATATATGATAACTACCTGTTTCTATAAAATAATTTTTTTTTTTTTTTTTAACCTTATTACCTATTTTCTCTTTTCCATTATAAAGAAATAATTAGTGAAATAAATAAAAATATCAAAAGTTAATCTACTTATAGAATAATAAAAGTTATTAATATTGAAAGATGTATGATAAATGCTTGTTTCAAATTACTTTATTTATGAAAAAAATGTAAGAAGAAAATATAAGAAGATAATATAAGAATAAAATATAAGAAGAAAATATAAGAAGATAATATAAGAATAAAATATAAGAAGAAAAAGGATTAAATAATAATTTAAAATACATAACTATTTAATGAATTAATGTTGTTTAAGCATGGTTCTAATTTTTTTATGGTATATTATTGAATACATTTTTTTCATAAAAAAAGACAGAATTAAATATTTATTTCAATAAAATATGTATCATAAACATAAACAAATTAAGTACATGTTGTTGGTCATTTAACTTCTTTAAATATTTTTACTTTAAAGTTTGTATATTTAAAAAAAAAAAAAAAAAAAAAAAAAAAAAAAAAAAAAAAAAAAAAAGAAAAAGAAAAAGAAACATAAAAGAAAAATGGATTTGAAAAAGAAAAAAAAAAAAAAAAAAAGGAAATATAAAAATAAATAGATAAAATGAAAAAAATGATATAAATAAAATAAAAGCGCCAAATAACAAAATAAAAACAACATATTTTTAAATATAAAATCAAAAATTATCAAAAATAAATATATTTTTGAATTTATGACATTCATTAAATTATGTATTATAAAACAAACTCTAATTATTATTAAGTAAAAAAATGAAAAAAAAAATAAAGTATTTTCTATATTTTTAAAAAATATTAAAATTTTACCTAATATTTTATACACCATTAATTATGTTTCTAATTTTTTTTTTTTTTTTAAATATCTTTGTGAAATTTAATAAATACATTTTTTTTTAATATTTTTATAAAATTTAATAAAATACATTTATTATTAAACAATTTTATAAATTTTAATAAAATGCATTTTAATCTTATTTCATTTTAACTTTATTTTATTTATTTCTTTTTATATTATTTAAAATTTAAAATTTTATTTACAAAATAACAGCATAAGACAATATATATATTAATTTTAATTTTATATAATATCACTATTTTCATTAAAATACATATTCCTGTTTAAGAATATGTTTTAAATTAACTATCAATAAAGCAAAATTATAAAAACAAACTAATTAATTTCACTATTAATATGATATTATATCTTTATATGAATTTTTCATTATATATGAATAAATCATATAATTTTTTTTTTTTTTTTTTTATTATATAATACTAGATTATATATAAAATCAATATTACATATGAATAGAATTACATATTTTTTTTTTTTTTTTTTTTTTTTTTTTTTTTTTTTCCCTTTTATATATTATTAAGAGTAATATTATTGTTAATTGGAATAACTGGATTATTAAATGAAATATTATTATTCTCATTAGTATTATTATTAATATTAGATTTATTAACATTGTTATTTCTATTTTTTCTACTATTTTTCCCAAAAATAGTTTGTCCTTTTACTTTTGATAAGCGAACTTTAATAGCCCAAAACTTTGATTTGTAAAAACCATGCGTTTTTGCTGAAAAGGATTTATAATATCTCTTTCCATTATCATACCATGATGCTATCCAACTTCTTTTATCCCAATAGACCCCAGCTACATCACATTTTAAATCATCTGGATTTTCTAAACTAGGTCCTTCTTTATCCGATAATTCTAACAAATATTCAAATTCACTTTCATTTTTTATAGTTTTATTTGTACTTCTACTTACAGTATTATTTTTTTTATTTGTTTTTTTTTCTGTATTTTTATATGTAAAAGTAGAATTTTTTTTACTTCCCTTTTTTTTCTTAGTTCCTGTCATACTTTCTGAAAATTTATTAATTGAACTCTTTTTATAATTCATTAAATTATTATTAGTAGTAGAATTAATGATAGAAGTATCATTATTGTTATTATTAAATATAGAACAATTATTATTTTGATTTTGATGAAAATATAACTCATTTTTATATCTACTATCATTATTATTATTATTATTATTATTATTATTATTATTATTATTATTATTATTATACATTTGTAATAATTCTAAAGCATTTTTTGCAAGATTATTTTTCATATTGATTTCTTCTATTTTTATCATATTTTTCTTTTCTTTTTCATAATTAATATTATTTTCCATTGAATTTGTATTATGATGATGATACAAATCATTATTAATCATAAAATTATTATGATCATTCATATTCATTATTTTATCATTTTTGTTTTGAATTATTTTTGTACATTTATTGCAATTTAAATAAGTATCAATTATATTTTTAGATATATTTTCGTTTTGACGATAATAATCTTTATCTAAAAAATTATTTTTTGCTATTTTATTGGACTGAAAATTTTTGTCTAATATATTTTTTGAAATATTTTCATTTTGTTGAAAATCCTTCATATGTTCTACAACATTTATGCTTTTACAATTTTTTTTATTAAATAATGTATTATTATCTGATGGGATTAATAAGTAATTATTTAACTTTTTTATTTTTTCTTCTTCATCTTTATTTATATTTGTACAAATATATTTAGTATTATTATTATTATTATTATTATTATTATTATTATTGTTATTATTCAAATTACTATAATTATTTTTATGATTATTAGAATTTATAAAAAAAGATCTATTTTTTTCATTATTATAAATTGATTTAATATTATCATATTTATAAAAAAATGACTTTAATGAATAAACATTTAATTTACTATTATTTTCCCATATATTCATTGAATGAGGAAAACTGTTACTTAATTTACAACATAAGTCATCTAATTTAACACATACTGTATAAATTGCATCAAACCACTGTAAATATTTATCATTGTTGTGATTATTTAAATAATCAATGTCATTATGATTAACTAGATCCCTCCTATTACTTTCCATCGGATTACTATTTACATTATTATTTGAATTATTCATTTCGAAATTATTCATACTTTCATTATTCACGTCATTTATTATATTATCATTATTCATTTCGTTTAACATATTTTCTTCATCTATATTATTTATTATATTTTCATTAATGTGAACATTTGATATATTTTCTTCATCTAAATTACTTATTACATTTTCGTTATTGACACTATTTACAACATTATTTTCATCCTTATCATTTATTATATTCTCATTATTCATACAATTTATTATATTTTCTTCATTCGTATTACTAACTATATTTTCGTTATTTATATTATTTATTACATTTTTATCATCCATACAATTTATTATATTCTCGTTATTCTTAATATTTATTTTATTTTTTACAATATTCATATTTAAGGAAAAATTTATTTTTCCTTTTTCATTATTATTATCTATATTTAAATTACTGCTTCCTATATTATCGTTCATCTGTATATTTTCTTTTAAATGATTCAAATTGTTTAACAAATTAGTTTCTCTCATATTATCTATAACACTTGTATTATTTTCCGAAGATACACTTCCATTATTATTTACATGCACTACCTGATCATTATTTATTTTATCATCATCATCATCATTTATATTGTTAATAGTACAATCTGAATTTAAAATATTATTTTTAATTTTTTCATTATTTGTAATGTTTTTTTTTTGCATATTGCTCATATCATAATTTTTGCATATATCTGTTTCATTAATAGATGTTCCTTCTTCATTCATTTTATGATGTACCTTTTCCTTTTTTAATGGAATAATAACACTTTGCATACTTTTTAAATTTTCATTTTCTTTATTATTATCTTCTATATTTTCAATTATCAAACTTTTATTATGAGTGTTTATTTTTGTTTCTTCACTTTCTTCTTTATTTAATTCAATAAAATTAAGTAAAGTATCTTCAGTTTTATTGCTTTGTTTGATGTTATTTTTTATAAGTTCACTTGAATTATTTAATTTCATTTTATTATCATTTAACATATCATTATAAGAACTCGGTGTAATAAATTTTTTATTATCTAAATAATTTATATCTTCTTTGTGATCTTCTTTATCAACACTTGAAAGAACATTATTGTTTATAGTAGATTTATCATCTAATTTTACATTATCATTTATATTTTTCTCCGAATTTTTCTTTAATATATGTAATTTTTCAATGAAATTATTTGATAAATTACTGCTCGATTCATATATTCTTGATTCTTTTTCTTTGCTATTATTAGATACAGATTTAATTTCAAGGTGACCATTACAGTTATCATATGTGTTTTCTAATTTTTTGTTTATAGGATTCTTTTTTAAATAGTCATTATTATATACGTCATTTAACTCTTCATTTTTTAAAAAAATATTACTGCATATATTTTTATTTTCTTCCTTTATAGATGAAAATATTGAGTTATTATTATATTTTTCATAAAATATATCTTCAGAATTAAATCCATCATTATTAAAAAAATCTTTTCTTTCTAATTCTACCTCATTATTTTTATCATTTTTACATTTTTCATAAATGTCTCTTACTTCGGAAATATTATTTAATAAAAAATTATTTTCTTCAGATAAACAGACTAAATTTTCTCCACATATGTTACTTATATTTTTTTCATAAGGATTTATGTAAATGTCATTTTCATAATTTGAATTATGTACAATATTATTTTCTAAACTCATTTTATTTTTTGCATTAATGATTTCATTCATATTATTTTTATGAATTTGATTAATGCATTTATAATTATTACTGTTATTATTACCATTGCTATCACTCATATAGTTATCACTATTATTATTTTTTTCATTATTACTATGACATTTTTCGTTGTTATCACTATCATTATTATTATTATTGTTAAAATTAGAATTATTGTAATTATTATAAATATTACCATTATTATTATTAGTAGTAGTAGTAGTAGCAGTAGTTTTGGTATTATTATTATTACTATTATTTTCATTACTAGTGTTAGTAGTAATAGTAATAGTAGTGTTGTCATTATTATAATTATTGCTATTATTATTAACATTATTATTACTATCGTTACTATCATTACTGTTATTAGCATTACTACTATAACTATTATTATTATTATTATTATCATCGTAGTCATCATCATTATTATTATTATTATTATTGCTATTACTCATATTACTATTAGTATCATTGTTATTATTATTATTACTATTATTAGTATTATTAATATTATTATCATCGTCGTCATCATTATTATTATTATTATTATTATTGCTATTACTCATATTAGTATTAGTATCATTGTTATTATTATTATTACTATTATAAGTATTATTAATATTATTGTTATTAATATTATTATTATTATTAATATTATTATTAATATAATCATCATCATCATTATTATTATTATTAATATTATCATCGTCATCATTATTATTATTATTAATATTATCATCGTCATCATTATTATTATTATTATTGCTATTACTCATATTAGCATTAATATCATTGTTATTATTATTATCATCATCATTATCATTATTATTATTAATATTATCATCGTCATCATCATTATTATTATTATTCTCATCACCATCATCATTATCATTATTATTATTAATATTATCATCGTCATTATTATTATTATTATTATTATTATTATTATTATTATTATTATTATTATTATTATTATTATTATTATTATTATTATTTTGATTGCTATTATTATTATTATTTTGATTGCTATTATTATTATTATTATTTTGATTGCTATTATTATTATTATTATTTTGATTGCTATTATTATTATTATTATTTTGATTGCTATTATTATTATTATTTTGATTGCCATTATTATTATTATTATCGTCGTCATTATTAATATTATTATTATTATTATTGTTATAATCATTAATATTGCTATTACTCATATTAGCATTAATATCATTGTTATTATTATTATTACTATTATTAGTATTATTAATATTATTGTTATTAATATTATTATTATTATTATTATTATTATTAATATTATTATTAATATTATCATCATTATTATTATTATTATTATTACTATTATCATCGTTGTCATTATTAATATTATTATTATTATTGTTATAATCATTATTATTATCATCGTTATTATCATTGTTATTATTATTATCACTATTATTATCGTTGTAACCTGTAGGTGCTTCCATAATTATTTGATTTGCATTTTTACTGTTGCTCATATTATTTCCATTCTCATTATTTCTAAAATTCTCTTTATTATCATTTTTTTTATTATTATTTTTATTTGTTAAATAGTTTTTGTTATTTTCATCTATATTTTTATTATTTCCATATCTTAAGTTGCATACATTTTTTTTTTCACTTTTTATTAAGGTTTTGTTATTTAGATTATATTCCTTTTCCGTATTTGTATTTATATTATTATTATATCTAATAAAATTTTCATTATTAAAATTTTTTTCATTATTATGAATACTATTACATTCCTTTAAATTATCACATTTCTCTTCTTTGTGATATGCATGACTATTAAAAACATTTTTATTTGTCCTTATACAATAATAATTGGAATAATTATCAATATTTATATTATTTTTTTTAATAATAATATTTTTGTTTATAGAATTATGATCATTCATAAAATTAAACGAATGATAAATTTCGGAAGAGTTATCTAAATTTTCATTAATTTGATTGTATTTATTTTTATAATTACTATTATTATTTAAATTGTTATCACTTTTATTATTTACTAAATTACGTTTATCATAATTTTTTTCTTTGAATTTTCTATTTAAATCGTCATTACTTACATTATTTTTTTTTAATATATTATTGCCTTCTGATGATCTAGAGATAGTTAATGATCCCATTTTATCAAAGTTAGAATCATTATCTGACGTAGAAAAGGTGTTATTCAAATTGCATTTATTAAAATCTTCTAAATTTTTGTTCTTATTTCCATTTATTTTCTTTAAATTAAGCAAAATATTCATTTCACTTACTAAATTATTTAAATTTATACAACTATCGCTTTTATTAATATTTTGAGTAAATGGACACTCATTATATTTATCGTAATATGGAAAAAATTTAATTCTATTATTGGGTTTAACCTTTTCAAATTCTTCAACAATATCCTCTTGTCTACTACTTATAATGTCAATATAATTAATAATATTTTTCATTCCTATTATTAATTAATTTCAAAAAAAAAAAAAAAAAAAAAAAAAAAAAAACAATAAATACAATATATATATATATAAGGTATATTAATACATGTATGAAAATAATAATAAAAAAAAAAAATTGAATGAAATTATAACACACTTCACTTTTTTCTATTAAAAATATATTCTATAATTATTTCCAAAGTAATAGCATTTTATACTACAATTTTTATGGTATTAATTAAAATTTATTTTAAAGTGTAAAATCTAAGAAAGCATATATACTTTGTTGTAAAATTAACTATAAAATTGATAACAAAAAAAAAAAAAAAAATATATTTTATAATATTTAATTTAAAATTTTTTTTTTTTATATATTTGAAGATAACCTCATTAAACTAATTAATTTTCTTTTTTTTAAATGTATTTTTAATTTTATAATTAATTAAATTCAACTAATATAGATATATTATTTTTTTGTGTACCTATTTTTTTTTTTTTTTTTTTTTTTTTTTTTTGCCAAGATCTTCAGTATTTTTAAATTATACCATTATTTTAATTATATTTTTATTTAATATAGATATCATATTCTAAGTGCCATATATAAAAAAAAAAAAAAAAAAAAAAAANATTTTTAATTTTATAATTAATTAAATTCAACTAATATAGATATATTATTTTTTTGTGTACCTATTTTTTTTTTTTTTTTTTTTTTTTTTTTTTGCCAAGATCTTCAGTATTTTTAAATTATACCATTATTTTAATTATATTTTTATTTAATATAGATATCATATTCTAAGTGCCATATATAAAAAAAAAAAAAAAAAAAAAAAATATTCAAATTGTACAATATCAATATTATATAGAACAATACTATTTTCTTCAAAAAAAACGTATGTTCAAAATATATTTCATTTTTCTTTAGTAATAAAAAGAAAATATTGTAAATTGTAACAATAAAAAAAAAAAAAAAAATGAGAGAAAATTAATAAATTTTTATTTATTTAAAAAGTGAATTCTTCTTTTTTTATATGTTTTGATATGTACATTGATAAATTATGCCAATTATTATAAAAAATATTAAAGATGCATAAGAAAAAAAAATTTTACTTTTTATAAACATATAAATATTTTTTACTAAAATTTCCTTTTTTTTTTCTTATCAAATGAATGAAATATAATAAAAAAAAATATATATAACAGAAGTAGTTATTTTTGTGTACTGAAAAAATCTTGAACTACTGCATGAGTAATACTTATTTATATTTTCTCATTATTTTTATTTTACTTTTTTTTAAATTGTATTTTTATGAAGTCATAGAAAGTGTACTTCATAAAAAAAAAAAATAAAATAAAAATAAAAATAAAATTAAAATAAAATAAAAAAAAATAAAATAAAAGGTATAAAAAAAAAAAAAAAAAAAAAATGAAAAATATGTAAAATAAATTACAAACTGATATATTGAGTGTGTTATATAAAAGTAGAATTTTCCTTAAAATAAATAGTAAAATAAAATGACAAATTAAATTATTGTAAAATAGAAATATACGTTAAACAAATATGTAATAAGGTGTAACTTTATTATATTTTACTTAAACTTGAAACAATAAAAAAAAAAAAAAAAAAAAAAAAAAAAAAGGGAAAAGAGTAATAGCTAATTGAAGTTTATGTGTAAATTAATAATGTAAATAAATATATTTATAAATATGTAGAATTGTAAATATTTTTATTATTATCACTGAATATAATCTTTAATTATGAACAATATATAAAAAAATAAAATATTTTTATCTAAATAAAATGCAAAAGTTTATTTTTTTTTTTGCATTTATAACAAACTTTAACAAGATTTAAAAAAAAAAAAAAATAAAATAAATAGAAAAAATGATTAAAAAAAATACAATTTATGAAAAATTAAATGATTAATAAAAGATAAATTCCTAAAAATGCAGCAATATTATTAACATGTGTGTGAGTAGTAAATTTTAAGAACAAGGAAAATTATATATGAAAATTTTACTAAATATATAAATTAATATACTATGATTATTTCATTTTTAATTCATATTTATAATAAAAAGTGAAAAAAAAAATATTTTATGTATATTATGAAGTAAAATTAAATGAAAACAAAAAATAGAGATTTTCTTTCATTTTTTTTTTTTTTTTTTTGTATATAAAATATATATATATACTTTATAGTGAAA